GGGAGACGCTTCACAGCCCAACTTAATTAGCATACCAAGTCCGACACGTAGTTGTATATTCACGCTTATGTGCTTAAAGGAAACTCCCGTTTATTGCAACCCGGACTTAATTTCTAGCATGCAGTACGTTTGTTTACTCACGCTGACAACTTTGGTGCTACTTGGATTCCCCGGGGTATTTACCGTAGGTCCATCGCCGAATCGCCGTCAGCGTATATCCATATAACGGGTGCGGACGGGCACCCATGGTGCAGCCTCGAAATAAGACATTATCTGCACCAAAACATCTTCATGTCGAAAGGTTTTGTTGGGAATCATTAACGTGATTCCCCTGTTCGTTTGGAGCGGGTCTGGTCTGGGATTTCTAGGCGTAAACAGACTAGCTGCGGCTAATCTAACCGGCGCTTTTAATGACGTCACTGCCGTGCGCCAGTCTGTTTTTATTAAGATTACCGGTAGATGTACCTTAAGCCTGATTTATGCTTCTCCGTCTGCGTCAGTGCGGAGACACGCAACGCCATTATCCGTCCTTGCGTAGGGCACGCAAGTACGTACGGAGTCGAGCCCCCTTTTTTAAACATCCGTCGAACGAGACGGATTAAGCCTGGTTTATGCTTCTCCGTCAGCTCCGCAAGGGACAGACACGCACGGATTGACGGAAGCGTTTTGCTCTCATACTTCTCCGTCTCCTGGGGAGTGTTGCAAAGCAATTCCCCAGCAGGACAACAGAGGGCGTAGCGCTGTTCTGTGGTATCCTGTCATGTATCGGTCCAAGATCGTGTGTTTATATTGTGTTTTTTGTGTATAGAAGAGACTTTTAACACAGACATATTTGTCTCTCATTCTCCCACCACTTCATGCGCTCCCCACCTCTAAACCCACGTTTCCTGTCATTTCCGTCCACAAATAAAACGCTTGCTGCGCATCTTTTCACTCCTCCAGTCACGGGAGGATGAAACGTTCATATTTTTAGAGTTTTTTCGCGAGGTGTTCTTCAAGCTTCTCCGTGTCTGCCGCTAGTTATCCTCGGCTCTCTTTGCAATGGCGGCGCTGTAAACAACAGCGGCATCCTGACCAATCACAAGCTTGCGTAATCCGTCTCGTTCGACGGATGTTTAAAAAAGTGGGCTCGACTCCGTACGTACTTGCGTGCCTGCCGGAGCCCTACGCAACGATGGATAATGGCGTTGCGTGTCTCCGCACTGACGCAGACGGAGAAGCATAAATCGGGCTTTACGCAAGCTTGTGATTGGTCAGGATGCCGCTGTTGTTTACAGCGCCGCCATTGCAAAGAGAGCCGAGGATAACTAGCGGCAGACACGGAGAAGCTTGAAGAATACCTCGCGAAAAAACTCTAAAAATATGAACGTTTAATTCCCCCGTGACTGGAGGAGTGAAACGATGCGCAGCAAGCATTTTATTTGTGGACGGAAATGACAGGAAACGTGGGTTTAGAGGTGGGAAGCGCATGAAGGGGTGGGAGAATGAGAGACAAATATGTCCCTGTTAAAAGTCTCTTATATACACAAAAAACACAATATAAACACACGATCTTGGACCGATGGATGACAGGATACCACAGAACAGCGCTACGCCCTCTGTTGTCCTGCAGGGCAATTGCTTTGCAACACTCTCCAGGAGACAGCAAAACGCTTCCGTCAGTCCGTGCGTGTCTGTCCCTTGCGGAGCTGACAGTCCTACCGTGGAGAAATTCGTTTTTTCCCTTTATTGACCAACAGAGTTGTTCAAAAGTACAGAACAAAACATATGGCATTACATCTTATGACAAAAATGCACCTTAAACAGAGTTTAAGCAGCAAAACATCACTCTGCAAATAGTGTATATATAGTGAGACAATTCATGATTTTAAGTGTTAACTTTCACCAGTTTTTGTATGCACGTTTTAAAAAATGCTGATACTTGAAAGGTTTAAGCACTTTACACACTTAATTCTTAACATTTAATTTTTGTAATATAAATTGAGGAATGTTATTTTTTGAATAAACTTGTTCGATAAATGGGTGTTTTAAAAAAGTATCGAAATCGAGTATCGAGTATTTTTTCAAGTATCGAATCGAGTTTGAAATTTTAGTATCGTGACAACCCTAATATATATAGATAGATATAGATAGATATACAGGTGCTGGCCAGTAAATTAGAATATCATCAAAAGGTTGAAAATATTTCAGTAATTCCATTCAAAACGTGAAACTTGTACATTATATTCATGCAATGCACACAGACCAATGTATTTCCAATGTTCATTACATTTAAATTTGATATTCATAAGTGACAACTAATGAAAACTCCAAATTTGGTATCTCAAAAAATTAGAATATTCTGAAAAGGCTGAATATAGAAGACACCTGCTGCCACTCTAATCAGCTGATTTACTCAAAACACCTGCAAAGGCATTTAAAAGGTCCCTCAGTCTTGTTTTGAAGGCACCACAATCATGGGGAAGACTTCTGACTTAACAGCTGTCCAAAAGACAATCATTGACACCTTGCACAAGGAGGGCAAGACACAAAAGGTGATTGCTAAAGAAGCTGGCTGTTCGCAGAGCTCTGTGTCCAAGCACATTAACAGACAGGCGAAGGGACGGAAAAAATGTGGTAGAAAAAAGTGTACAAGCTCTAGGGATAACCGCACCCTGCAGAGAATTGTGACGACAAACCCATTCAAAAATGTGGGGGAGATCCACAAAGAGTGGACTGCAGCTGGAGTCAGCGCTTCAAGAACCACCACGAGGAGACTCATGAAAGACATGGGATTCAGGTGTCGCATTCCGTGTGTCAAGCCACTCTTGAACAAGAAACAGCGCAAGAAGCGTCTCGCCTGGGCCAAGGACAAAAAGGACTGGACTGATGCTGAGTGGTCCAAAGTTATGTTTTCTGATGAAAGCAAGTTCTGCATTTCCTTTGGAAATCAAGGACCCAGAGTCTGGAGGAAGAGCGGAGAAGCACAGAATCCACGTTGCATGAGGTCCAGTGTAAAGTTTCCACCGTCAGTGATGGTGTGGGGTGCCATGTCATCTGCCGGTGTTGGCCCACTCTGTTTCCTGAGGTCCAGGGTCAATGCAGCCGTCTACCAGGAAGTTTTAGAGCACTTCATGCTTCCTGCTGCTGACCAACTTTATGGGGATGCAGACTTCACCTTTCAACAGGACTTGGCACCTGCACACAGTGCCAAAACCACCAGCACCTGGTTCAAGGACCATGGTATCCCTGTCCTTGATTGGCCAGCAAACTCGCCTGACCTTAACCCCATAGAAAATCTATGGGGTATTGTGAAGCGGAGGATGCAATACGCTAGACCCAACAATGCAGAGGAGCTGAAGACGACTATCAGAGCAACCTGGGCTCTCATAACACCTGAGCAGTGCCACAGACTGATCGAGTCCATGCCACGCCGCATTACTGCAGTTATTGAGGCAAAAGGAGCCCCGACTAAGTATTGAGTGCTATACATGCACATTCTTTTCATGTTCATTCTTTTCTGTTGGCCAACATTAGAGAAACAAACATTTTTTCATTGGCCTTTAGAATATTCTAATTTTCTGAGATACCAGATTTGATGTTTTCATTGGTTGTCACCTATAAATATCAAATTTAAATGTAATGAACATTGGAAATACATTGGTCTGTGTGCATTGCATGAATATAATGTACAAGTTTCACGTTTTGAATGGAATTACTGAAATATTTTCAACCTTTTGATGATATTCTAATTTACTGGCCAGCACCTGTAGATAGATAGATAGATAGATAGGTAGATAGATAGATAGATAGATAGATAGATATAGATAGCTTCTGATTGGAAACAAACGGAAAATGCTCGGTTCAGAAAAACCCGACAGATCCTCATCACACTGTCACTTAGCTATAAAGGACTCACCCATCTTGACTCTCGGCAGGGAAGGCCGTTGGCTTAGCAACCAGGAAATGTCAGAGGACGTCTTGACTAGTAGAAGCTAACTGTTAGCTTTAGCAACTCCACCACACAGCAGAACTCCTTCAGGCTTGTGTTAAAAACATCAACTTTGCAAAACAAACAGTCAGTGGTAGAGTCGCCTTGCTTTTGTCCATTCTGAGGCAAGATGATGAAATATCAGGAAAATAAGACTATATCCTTCTATCTGAAGCTGCTTTCTCCTCCAGCTGAATTCTGCGTCCTCAAAAAGGTTCAGCAGTTTTCCCATCTGAGATCAACTTACAAAGCATTTATTCTTACGAGAGACCACAGGAAACGGATTACAAATATGAGTGAAGTTGACCTTAAAGGGTATTAAAACTGAATAGTTTATTACACGGACTATCAGTTTTATTCACAAAGCATAAATGTTGCAGGAAAACCGTTTACAAGATGCAGCTAAGAAAACATGGAGTTGAAATGTTAAAATTCCCCAGGCTCTCAGAAGATTTTATAGATTATTCCACAGATTTGAGGCATTAATACGTTATTTTTTATTTTATTTTATTTTGTAGGATTTAGCTTTATTTTTTTCCCCTCAGTAAATGGACATTATGCTGTTTTGGTTTGCTTTTAGCACCCTCTAGTGCCCCTTGGTAAAACTGAAAGAGAAGCCCATTTCCTCACTGTGCATTTTAACATCTTAACCTAACATCTGAAATGTCTCAATGCCTTCGTTAGTGTGTACAGGAGCAATTCATCACTAAATCATACAAATCCGCTGTGTTCATGATCTAAAGCATGCTGGAAGCAGACTTCGGCGCTGGCATGTCAGCTCCGCTTTTCTAAGATGAACAGGGCCTGCTACTCTGAAGTTGCAAGTGCAGTGTTCTGGCCACAGAGGGTGGTGGGGTCTGTGTGACATTTCATTAACTCTGTAAAGGGCCATTTTAGCACATACTGGCTAATGAAAATTTTTTTTTTAATGAAAAGTTGCATAGTATCCATTTAAATTTTAACAACATTTTGTAATTCAGCTAAAAGCAGCGCTGCTGCAAAACTCCTAAGCATCTCGTTGTCTCTTCAGTTGTCCAATGGGATTCCTATAGAGAGCTGGTTCATGGATAAGAATGACAATGAGCTGCTGAAGCTGGTGCCCTTCCTGGAGCAGTTGGTTGAGATGGTAAGCTGCTCTTTATACCAGCACCACTACCTGTGGATTGTTGTTTAGCAGGTTTGTCTATAATCTCCTCTCTTCTGCTGATCCTTTCAGAATGAGGACGTGCGACCTCATGTCCGGGAGAAGTTCCGTCTTCACGACCTGCTACCTCCCGATTGAGCTCCAGAACCTCCCAACGGGACAACATGAACAGACCTGAAATCAACACGCGTGTAAAAAGCCTCTCTTTGGATTACAAAACATTACCATTACTTTTGAGACTTTAGCGTCTTTTTTCTGTTTAAAAAAAACTTTTAAAACATTTGGAGAGAGAGAAAAAAAATCTGGGTGTAATTTTGATTTTGAAAGAAGGAAGAAGAAAAAAAGTCTGTAGATAAAATTACACACACTACGAACGAGCCCAGGTAGACCCGCCTTTCTACTCTCCAGCTGTGGAGCCCGATTATTGAACTCCACACTAAAATCTGAAGTCAGTGCTGGTTTAGTGGAAGTGAACATGCTACCAGTACAGAGGAACTCCACCCCGAACCCAAACCGACCCCTGGTGCTGGCAACCCTGACGATGAATGACACTCTGGTGGCTGCAGACCATTTCATCAGCAGGAAGGACCGGTCTGTGGATCGTTCTGCATGTGTGTGTTCCTCTGTTTACACACACACACACACACACACGCTGATTTGATGCTTGGGTAAACCTCTGTAGCTTTTAAAAAATAATATGCATTCCTCTGTAGCTCTGTTTCTATTGTTGGTTGCCATTTTTTCTGGTAAAACTGGTCTTTTTTAAGTTTCAACAGTGTTTTTATGTTAAGACGCGTTCTGAAAAGGTCATGAAAGGTTTATTGAGCAGGAGTGCAGAGTAACGACAGTTCGTTACGTTGTCCGTGGAAACAGAAGAATCGAGGACTTTTTATAAGTACGTTGTTAAAGCGGCGCGATGCTTCACTGTAGACTCATTACTGCTCAACTGTTCGGATGAACCATCTTTGCTGTAAATCTTACGTATTGTAAAGGTTAGAGGGCATTCATTTTCAAAGTAACGTGTCAAACAAAGAAAAAAAAAACATCAACTTCCTTTTAATAATAGCATTTGATTTCTTTGTCTGTAATCAGTATTGTCTTTTACTCCTGATCAAGTATTCTGGCTGAGTTGTGCTGTGTAACTGGATGGCCTCGATAAGTAGCGCCATGATTAATGTTGCACAGCTTTACGGTGTTTTCTGACTAGTCATGGTAGCAATCTGGCTGTCCAGTTTACATGTTCTGTTTACGCAGCTCAGAAAGGAAAACGTTTTCAGCCTCGACTCGAGCCAGATTAGCTTTCTCCTCTGGAGGCCAGTTAAATTGAATGAATTGGGAAACGTTTGGCTGTTTTTAGACCCATTTTTATTTAGTTATAGATGAATATGATGATGTAATCATCTTCCAGGATAACCTGTTCGGTGGAGTTTGGTTTATATCCTTCAGAGCTGACGGGAAAACAGCTAGCCAGAGGGACGCTAGGGCTAAAGTGTGTTGCTGCACCACAATACGCTTTAGCGCAAATCATTGCACCGCTATCAGTTTGGCTTTACTCACCTAATTTACATGAAATTCTTTAGGTTTTATTTTGAAGTGTGAATATCTTCAGAACTGCTGGTGCTCCCAGTTTCAAATTAACGATGGCGTCAATGGTTGAAGAACTTTTTCAGCCTCGGCTGCTTTGAAACTTAGGAGATCTGAGCTGTTTGGCTTCAGCTCAAATTCACTTCAGACTTGGCTGCTCTCAAACCAGCTGCAGGCTCATTTGTCCTGCAGGCAATAAAGACAGATTTCCCAAAATAGGACATCTTGGAAATTATTTACATCATATAATATGGTAATTAAAACATTTACACAAAAACAACAGCCAGAATAACTCCACAAACCTGGATTCAGAGGCCCGCCAGTACCTGGCTGATGTCCATCAACACCTTTTTTGGTGTAACTGAAATATTACGTCACATCGAATATGAAAGTTTGGCTCGTCTTGTTGAACTTTTTGAGTTAGTGTTTATATAAAAGTGCTTTTTATGATGAAGCCAACATGTGTGTGTTTGGTTGCCTGTACAGTGCCATATGATTCTCCTTACAGCAGTTATTCTGGTCCACCTTTAAAAAGCTCAAATGGAGACAATCAGACCAACTGACATTGTAAAACATTTGGTGTAAAGTTTCCAGATAGGTCCTGCTCATTAGTCAGCGGGTCGCTTTAGTTTTACGGTTAAAGTGAATTCGCTACAGGTCAGATTGTCTTTCATGCAGAATCTTTTGAGTTTGTGTGCTCAGACTATGAATGTAAATTACAGATGTGGTGAAGGCTCAAATGTTTTTTATTTTAAATTTTATTTTGCTTTGATTTTAGCATTAAAAAAAAAAAAGTACGGATGGTCCCACCTTCATGTCCCGCTGCACATCGTGTAACAATAACGCCATTTTTATGCAAACTTTACTGATGTTGCCCCGGCTCATCAGCTCCATCTTTAGCAGGTTTTAGCCCTTTAATTTCTTTTTAAGGACAACACAATTTAGAATTGGACAACTTTCATTTTGTGAGCAAATTTTTTTAATGCGCTTCACCGGTTTATTGTACACTGAGGGTTGTACAGTACATG